CAATATCTATTTACATGTGGTTATCTGTCTCCACTCCTAGACTATAAGCACCATGAGGACAGGAATCATGCCTTTCTTGTCAATTACGGTATCCTCAGTGCCCAACACAGTGCCTGGCACCACGCTGCGGCTCAAACAATAGATGGCTTGGTTCACATTGAATGAATAAAAAGAGATTTCAAGACGGATTTTAACCACAGTTAGTGCAGCCAAGACTTGCTTTATAGAAGTGAGTCATTAACTTTTTATTTTCTATCAGAATCTTTTTGAGGAATGCTACTAAATATTACACATATAATCAGAGTAGAGTCAGCTGTGCTGGTGTAACCAGGAATGAGTGTTCCAGATTTCTTTCCACTTGGTCTCCCTTGGATCCCTGAAGGCAGTATAGGACCTTGCTTCACAATGGGTGGTCCCTGGACCAGCAGCAGCAGCAGCTGGTACAAGAGGAATGGTGGGTAAAAGTGCTGACACCTTAGCACTAATCAAGGCAGTAGAAGCAAAAGTTATTTTATTCCTCACTGTCACATACAGGCAGTTGTTTAAAAAAGCCAGATTCATTTATGAATATCCTTGATGAAGCAGTAAAAATAATTAACATTACATTTCAACCCTTGAGAACGTTTCTTTAATATTCTGTGTGATGACATGAGAAGTAAGCATTAAGTATTTCTGTTGAATAACGAAATATGATGATTGTCTTGAAGAAAAGCACTTGTGCAATTCTTTGAGTCGTATGTTGAACTAGCTGCCTTTTGCATCGTACCCCTATTTCAATTGAAAACAAAAGGCAACAACTGACAAACTATGGTCATTAGAACTTGGGTATTTGCCAGATATCTTCTTGAAAATGAACAAGAACCTGTCACTTCAAGGAAACTAACTGACAGTATTTGTTGCCAAAGATAAAATTTGAGCTTTCAAGAGAAAATGAGAATTGTATAAAATTTGTATCTGCTTCACAATACTTAAAGATTTTTCTAATGAGATAGGTGGTTATCTAAGTCCATTCGGGCTGCTATAAATGCCACAGGCTGGGTAGCTTATAAACAGCAGACATTTACTTCTCACAGTCCTGGAGGTTGGGAAGTCGAAGACCAAGGTGTCAGCATGGTCGTATTCTGGTGATGACGCCCATCTGGTTTGTAGCCCGCGCTTTCTCACTGTGTCCTTACATGGTGAAGGGGCTGAAGAGCTCTGTGGGATCTCTTTTATAAGGCACTAATCCCATTAATGAGGGCTTCACCCTCATGACTTATGCACTTCCAAAGGCCCTACCTTCTAATGCTATGATCTTTGAGGTTAGGATTTCAACATATGAACTTTGAGAGGGACACAAACATGCAACCAAAGCAGTGGTGATATTAACAAATGTGATTTTTAAATTTTACATAATGTAATGTGCCATCATTTGGAAGATCTGCATAATTCAGTGAACTAATATTTTCCAAATGAGCAATGTGGAATCACATATGGGTAAATGACCTATTCAAATTACAAGATAGACATGAAGTTTAATGTAACAGTGTAGAAAAGCTCATTGCTGTGGTTTCAGGTTTCACATTGCAACTAATCTTTAAGGAACTATCGCTTGTGGAGTTTCAGTGCAACATCAAAGAATATCCAGGATTATTTGAAAAGGCTATTAAAATAGCCCTCCCCTTTCAGCTACTACTTATCTGTGTGAGGCTGGATATTCTTCCTATACTTTCTATACTTCAATATCCTACATAGTGCCACAGATGGAATGCAGAAGCAGATATGAGAATTCAGCTGTCTTCTATCAAGGCAGGCATCAAAGACATGTAAAAATATAAAACAATGTCAGCCACTCTATTCATTAACTTTGTTTTGGAAAATATATCATTTACATTAACCTGTAATAGGTTTACTATTGTTATTTTTAAATGAATGAATCAATCAATATTTCTAAAATTTCTCCGTTTTAATTTCTAATGTGGCATATGCTGATAGATATATCCCACATGAACAAAAGCTCTTTGAGATCTTCATAATTTATGAGAGTATAATGAGGTCCTGAAACCAAATGTTCGAGAACTGCTGCCTTAAGAACAGTTCGAAAACTTCCTTTGGGCAGTTCTAGCCTTAGTCAAAGATGGATAAACCCTGGCAAGTTCTTCCTAATTCCTTTCCCCTTTTATCAGCTAGACACCAAGTTTGACAATTGCCAAATGCCTCTGGTTCATTTCACGTAAATATACATTCTCGTCATGCTTTCCTAAGCAAAGAGTTTATTCAACTTGATTAGATTTTTGCACCTTGGCATCCATGATTTGGTTTGGCAGAGAACCAGGTCACTCACCTGTAGTATATTCACAAACCAGCTCCCAGAGAGGGAGAGCGCAACTGAAGTATCAGCAGCTGGGTTCTGCCAACTGCAGAAGACAAGCTCATTCCTTGCACTCTTTTGGACACCAATTATTCGACTCAATATATTTCTGATGACGAGATATAATTTTGTTATAAAAGGCCAAAGAAAAATATAAAGTGTTAGAAACAACTGATCAAATGAAAGGGGACTAATATTTATTTAGCACTTGGTCTAAGCCAAATACTCTTACATGTTACTTCTTTTAATCCTCCCAACAATGCTATGAGATAGGCATTGTTATTCCCATTTTACAGATGAGGAGAGCAGCGTTAGATAGCTGTTATGCAGCAGAGGAGGGATGAAACCCAGGCCTCAGTGACTCCAAAGACAGATTAATAGTCAGAGGATCTGGGTTGTGTCAAATGCGTTATGATGGTGCTTCACGGATGTGGTGATAAAAACACCTCGAGTAAGTCTTTAGAATTGCCTCAGTCTAATGATTCTCAACGTGTGGCCCCTGGACCAGCAGCATCAGCATCCCTGGAAACTTGTTAAAAATGCAGATTCTCAGGCCCCGATCTAGACCTGCAGAATAAGAAGCTTTGGGAGAAGCCAGGAAGCCAACCAAAAGGGCAGAACAACTAAACGGCTGCCAGGATTGCCAATGTATAAAGGTGCTAAAATATCACAGAAATATATCGGAAATGTTGTGTCAGTTAACTCAGGTCTGCTCTTCTCTGGGGGAAAGTTGATTTCCTATTCCACGCAGCTAATAAATTCCTTGTTACGAATTTGGACATGTGACGGGAAAATAATATTTATGTATAATGTTCTGCTTCCTTCCAAGAAAGGCTAATCCTGGTAACTGGAAATGTTTTTGCTTGCAAAGCACGAGCTCTTCACTATTTGTCTAATGGCCTCTTACCTCCCTACTCCTCCCTTGACTCCTGAAGGATGATCAGTACAGTACAGATCTCCGAAGAATCCTATTCACGGATCATCTTAGAGCAGATCCCCTAGAAGCGGAGCCTGACGTGGGGATTCTTGTGCTAATGATTTATTGAGGAAGCACTCCCGGGAAAAGGGAAGCTGGTTAAGCAGCAGGGGGAGCTAACCAAGAACGTGGTTCAAACAGATATCTGCTCAGTCTGATCCCATGGGCAACTCTGGAACATGAATTTCACCAGAGTCGGTCCTGTCTGGAGGGAAGGGAGCCAAGTTTTTGTAAACCTCTCTACTAGTCACTCACTGGCTGAGGACTGTGGGTGGTGGGGTGAGGATGAGAGTCTAACCTCCTGGGCTAAGTGGTTTCAGGTGGCTGAGCGTAGCTTTTCAGAAAAAGGGACAGCTGTGAGCCATAAGCAGCCAACCCCAACACAGCTGGGGGATGGGCAAACCCAGGTAAAAGGGATCTGAATGGGGCACCAACAGCATCTACTACATGGATGTTTTTTGCATCTCTGTTCATGTCCCTGGATTTCTGTATCCTTCCCTGCCTCAAGTGTGAACTTCCTTCTCTATCCTTTGGCCTCACACAACTATAGTCCTGGATCATCCAGCTTCCTAGTCCTCACTCAGACTAGAAGGTAAATCAAATCAAGTGGCTACATTTGTAGGATCCCAGATGGTTTGCAGAGGGGTGTTGAACACATGCATTATCTCTCCCTATAGAATATATTTCTATCCTAGGAACATTTTGTTGCTATTTCCTATTTTCTTCTTTTGTAAAATGAAGGATAGTCTGGATTACTTCTAAACCTCGTTCTAGTTTAAAAGTTCATTTGCCTAATGATTTTGCTCCAGAAGGCAGTTGCGCTTACATTTCCTCTGGGAATGGGTTTCACCAAAACGTTGATTAGAAAGTGAGCCTGGAGTCATTGATGTAACTCAGACACTATTAAAACTATGAAAAGATTTAGTCCATATCAGAGAATTCACTTTCATTTGCTCTGACCAAGATTCTTTTATCAATACTCGATGTTAAATTTTCTGGACAATTATTAGGGATGAATTTCTTTTTTTTTTAACTTGATTTTTTTTTTTAAAGATTTTATTTTTTTCCTTTTTCTTCCCAAAGCCCCCAGGTAAATAGTTGTATATTCTTCGTTGTGGGTGCTTCTGGTTGTGGCATGTGGGACGCTGCCTCAGCATGGTTTGATGAGCAGTGCCATGTCCGTGCCCAAGATTCAAACCAACGAAACACTGGGCCGCCTGCTGCGGAGCATGCAAACTTAACCACTTGGCCACGGGGCCAGCCCCGGGATGAATTTCTTTAACATATTAAAGAACTTCAGAGTTAATCTCAAATTCCTGCTTCAATGATCTGTGTCGTGTCTTTGCCACACAAAGACGGACAGATACTATCATTTCCATTGTGGAGTCTTAATGAAACTGTGGCAGAAACGCAGGCAAGACACCAAAACCACCACTGAAGTAGCCCTATGTGTCTTATTTTAATCAAGGACAAGGTGATATTGAAAAAACTTCCTGAGTTAAATAGTTGATGGTAGGGCCACCCCTATCAGATACTGGCCCTTTGTGTGACTTAAAACAGAGCACCTATTCAGGTTTATGAAATACTGAAAAGTGTCCCCTCTAGGTGGACAACTTACAAAGAAGTCGTTCTTTCTTCCTGACCGGGAGGCCTGTGAGGAGGCACAAGTGTTGGTTAGTGAAGTGCAGCAGGTTTCAACCCTCACTCACACCTTTCACCTGAGACCTTTGCAGAGAGCACAACTTGCATGTCAGTATATGGTGGCCCTGGTTGTAGGAGTCTGATCATCGTGACTTGACTGGTTTTCCATTCTTTGATATGACCTCTCATGTTTGTCAAAAGACATCAATCCTACAAAATTGATGAGGGGTGCCATGTCTCAAGATGTGCCTCAACCATCTCCATAATCTAGACATTGATGAGTGCTTCCAAGACAAAGAGGCCCAAAAGGATGTATTCTGGATAGCCTCTCTGTCTGTATTCTTCTTTCATTCTTATCACATGAGAAGACTTGCCTTGGAACTTTGGCACTGAACCAAGGGGCCCCTGCCATTTTAACTGAGGTTCTAGGATCACTTGCTTGTGTAGGAGGTCTAAGGTGGCATTACTATGCTAATCTGTGCAAATCTTTCTGCCTGGGGATTTTACAATAGTCAACCCATTAGCACAACATCCGTTAGAAACATCTGACATTGAATTCTGTTTCTAAAATTCCTGGAAACTTATCACTGGAAAAAAAAAAACCCAACAACTGATGATTCTTCCCCGACATTGAAATCATTGCAGTGTAATCAGTTAATGTGTTTACTTCCAATGTTATAGTGGAGAAAGCCTGGAAGAAAGGAACTCTTTGGCTAGTTATATTAATTAAGTGGATAGGGTCTGTTATGTACACCAGAGACCCAAGGGTCATAGTTGAAGCTCTTGTTAATCTTTGTCGTTGCAATAATTACATTGGAAAGGGAAGGGGGGGGGGGGGGGCTAAAAAAAAACCAGGAAAAGATAGAAATAGCTTTGGAAAAATTAGGGCTAAATTTTCCTTCCCTGTTTTCTTTATTCCTGATAATATAAATAATGTCTTCTTAAGATGAAATGCTAAGAAAGCAAATAAATTCCTACAGGTTTGGGTTGAGAAGGACATTAAATGGTGTGTACATAAAAAAGAAAGCTTTGGGCCTTTTTGAGGTAAGGTGACTACATTTTGGCAAGAAAATGATTACACGATCTTTCTGATTGAGGGAAGAAGATTATACCTTCCGGTTGGTTCAAAAAATAACCAGTAAAGAAATGAGAGCTCATTGCCATGGGGGACCATTTAGAAAGTCGGAGGATCCTCAGGATCACGTCCTTTGTGTGTAGGCAGTCTGAGGGACAGCCTCCACAATCCACATGGCACCTCTGGTTGAATTGTTCCTATACTCTCTGATGAAAGAAGAAAGATAATCCACTAAACTCCACTCTTTCTTTCTTAAGTGCTCCCCCAAAATTACCATAGACATGAAAGTCACCTTTGATATTTACTAGAAAAATTATTTTCCTGTAACACTCTGAAACTCTTTTTCCCTACAAAATATGTTTTATTGCATCTTCATTGCAAATCTAACTTGTAATTCATCTCTTACTCACCATTCAAGTCATAGCTATCTGCTGAAGAATATGTCAACCGGCCCGGAAGCATTCTTCTAACAGTAGTGGTGGAATTAAAGGTAATTCCCTATTTTGTCCTCTGTAAAATACATTCTTTTTTTTAAAACTCCACTTATGGGATTTAACATTTTAACCAAAAAATTTCAAATTATACCATAATAATTCAACAATACAAATTTTGGTCACCCACGAGAGACATCTAGCTTTCATTTACATGATAATAATCCAATAACGCAAATTTTTATTATTCTGAAGAAAAATTGGAGGAAAAAATGGGCTAAAATGTGTCAAGTAGTGGATTTATGGAAATATCCAGTGTGCAGTATAAGTAGATGCATGATAAGTACAAACATGGAAAAAGGAAATTGCTCCTGCTGGGGTATTTGAACCTATGAAAATGTCACTCTCTAATGGAGCTTACATTCCTAGCCAGGTGTCTGTGGTTTTACCATTTGCTCACAAAGACTTCTTTAGGCTTGTAACATTAAGTATTCATCACAGAGAAGAGATGTGTGCTTTTGAAGGACCCTTCTTCCCACAAGTGACTGGAAAAACTCTAGAGTTTGGGCGCAGTTAGAGCTATTGTCTAAGAATTTCATCACTTGCCTCCATAGGTGAATGTCTGTCTACCTCATTTGCCTGAAAATTGTACTACATCAGCAAGATGGATCATTTGGCTTCCTTGTTGGTCCTGGGGGATATGAACACAGCCCGCAGATCTACCAGCAGCTGACTGCCTGGTAAATGTTTACTTATAAATTAGCATGGGTGATAATTTATTAAGGTAATAAGCATAGATTACATTTAATGGCTTAGACATTATGCATTATGAACACAGTATTTTATGTTTAGTTGAAGCAAATGTATATGATTATTAATATGATACCCAAATGTAACTCAGAATTATGAATTAGAGAGTTTAAACCAAGTCAAGCCATGAATTACAGTGCATCAGCACTTAAATTAAGGGCTTCAGGAAGGTTTCACGATGGCAAAGTAATATCATATTGTTCACCTATACCATGTATTAGGATGTGTTCATTTCTTAGATTTTCTTCTCCTTCCCCAACAAACTGACTCATTCTGTTACTGAAGAACATCGCTTCTCGACAAGCATCGCAGCATCAAAACTTTGGCTTCTGGAGCTGAGGTGAGTAATCTGTCAGCAGGGACACCATGATAGCCTAGGATGACACAACAAAGAGAGAGAAAGAAAGAAAGAAGTGGACATTAGCAAGAGTCTGCTTAGGGACCTAAGGAAGGGGAACTGGGCTGCAGCTTTGAAGGCCTATGGTTAAAATGTGTTTTCCCAAGGAAATGATAAGGGGACAGTTCCAAACTAATATTTATTTTTATTTGGATAAAGGAAGGTCAGGAGGAATCAGGCTGACCCCAAAACATACACAAACATCTTGCTTACTTGGGCCATGTTCCAGGACTAGTGGGCGAGAGAGTTGAAATGAGACACCACGGTGGTAGCCATGATTGGATTTTCCAGTCATGAGTGAAACCTAGGTATTGGCTGGTTTTAGAGAAATATAATCCCTCCCGTCCTCATGTTTATACTGTGGTTTAGTCACTTGTAACCTAGAGAAGTTTAGAATAAATCAGATGTAGAGTAATGAAAGTAAATTATTTGGGCTAATGAATAATGTCTATTTGAATCTGGGTCGTCGTGAAAGAATATTTATAACCTAGAGTACAACTTCCCATTAGGCTGTCAGCCTCAAATGGTAATTTTCACTTTTACTCTTCCCAACTTCCACAACATGACAATAGTAATTATATCACAAACAATGACGATAAATGTTTATTGAGTGCTTACTATGTACCAGACTAAGTGCCTTATCATGTGTTAGTCAGTTAAGAAATATTTGCCAGGCACTGGGATAGGTAGCGTGGTGAGCTAGAGAGAAATGTTTATGTATTATGTCATTTAATGCAAGAACCTTCTAAGGTAGCTTCTGTTGTTATCATTTATAAATGAAGAAATCAATCCTGGAAACAACAGATAGTACAAAAGTGAGTTTGGACCCAGGTTCCTCCGACTCCATTCGAGAGGTAGTTTTGCTGCCTTTCAGGTGCTTGCTCCTTCCTTTCGACTGTGAAGTACACGCGTTCCTTGCCTGTAGAAGTGCCAGGCTTACATTTCAAAAGTGTTCATTGAATGTATTCATTGAATGTTTACCATGTGCTGGGCCCTGTGCTCAACGCCTTATGTGCATAATAGTGTTTGCTATCCTTTCCTACTGTGTGAGGTGGCAAGAGCTGTAAAATACAGATGAGGAAACTGAGGCAGAGGGATTTCCCTGAGTGCTGCTAGGAAGGGGCGCCTCTGCACCTGCCTGTCCTAGACCTTGACCGCTATGCTCTGATGACTCTCACCTTATTTAATCCTCCCAACCTTATGAAGTTGTTTCTATTTTCATCCCCATTTTCATACGAATAAATTGGGTTTAGAGAAGTTACAGTACTTGCCCAAGATCACAGAGAGAGCCAGAATTTTAATCTTATTTCCAAAGCCTATTTTCTACAACCAATACCCTATATTGCCTTCAGGCTACAAAAATGCATCGAGCACATATTTAGAGTATTTGTCAGGCACCATTCCACTTAAAGCGAAGAACATTATAGACGAGATCAATGCTCTTATGAAGGAGTTTTTAATTATAGTGAGGGAAACAGGCAACAGACAAAAAAGAAAATATCAAGTAGTGATAAATGTCCTTAGAAAAATAAAATATGGGATAAAGGAAGCTGGGGAACTACTTAAGAGTGAGTGGCCAGGGAAGACCTTTCGAACGGAATGACATTTAAGTTGAGATCTGAATGACAAGAAGAAACTAGAAAGGCCAAACTCTGGGATGAGAACATCTTCCAGGTAAAATATTTTAAGCTTTTTATGGGTTCCTGAGACCACATCTCAGGTTTGGTTTTGATTTTAATGGTCATTGCATGTGTCAAATTTATTTTCAAATGTAAAAATCTCAAAAAATCAGCGTGGTGTGAAGTTGCCAGATTTAGTTAAATAAATAAATACAGACAGACAGACAGTTAAATTGGCATTTCAGATCAACAACAATTTTTTTAACTCTAAGTATGTCCTAAATATTGCATGAGACATACCTAAACTAAACAATTACTTGTTGTTTATCCGAAATGCCAATTTAACTGGGTGTCCTGGATCTTATCTGGCACCCCTAACTTGGAGAGAAGAGACAGTAAAATACTGCGAATTGCATTTGTAATTATGTTGTGTCTCTAAAGGTTATCCTGATAGCAGTACTTTTTTCAGGGTCCCTTTCGGTTACTTTCAGTCCACTGTAAAATTTGTAGGCAGAAGCAGAAACCCACTTGACTTTTTGAGTCCTACTGCCTTACTGATTATTGAAAAATACAAAAGCAAGCTTTGTGGAGAGGAGAGGGTATATTTTTTTTTAAACCAAGGGATCCAAAGGTCTGTGCACTATGGAGAGAGTGATGTGATTACTAGAGTGTTCTGAACAGCATTCCTGGAAATCACCAAGCATAGAAGCCTTAAAAAGCTACTCTGAGAGCTAAAAGAATATGCTTTTGCTTTAAAATGTTAAATACTTTTAGAACAAGCCCTTCATCTTATTTAGTTATATACCTTACATCCATCAGTCATTACAGGCATCTCAGAACTTGAGGATAGATTTTTTCCTTTTTAGCCTTCTTCCATCCTAATTTTAAATTAAATTGTGTGTGTGGAAATCATTCCCTAGACAGTGGCACTGTCCAATAGAGCTTTCTGCAATGATGGAAATAATCTATGTATGTGATGTCAAATGCAAATAGTGTAGCTACCAGCCATATGTGGCAACTGAGCACTTAAAATGTGCTTAGTATGTCTGAGGAATTGAGTCTTAAATGTTCTTATATTTTAATTAGTTTAAGTTTACATTGAAATAGCCACATGCGCCTGAAAACAAGCATTGTGCCATGAGGACATCCCAGAAAAATTTATCACAGCGGTGCCGAACCTAAATGCCATTCTAAATAAGCTGTTAAGAAGAATTTATTTGCCTGTAAAATAGGAATTTAGACTGGACAATCTCTAGGGTCTCATCCCACTTGAAACTGCTATGCTTCTATGAATTGTACAGGCCGTGGGGGGACTGCACAATACTCATTTTTTTCATCTCCAATGCCTGGCAGAGGGCCTGGCATACAGTAGATGCTCAGTATACGATGGGTGACATGAACTTAACTCAATGGGACCACCAAATCATCTAGCTCAGGGCCATAAAGAGTGTGGCATGTGTGTCACCACCTCCCTTCCAGAATCCATGTCGGGTATTACTAGTCAATTATGCCACTCTTTCTATCCAAGACCACAGGCAGGCTTAGAACCTTCAGAACATAGGACTCCAAATAGCCTGTTGAGGAGATTGAGGACCTAAGATTAAAACTCATTTGCCATCTATGTAGCTTGATCTGCTTATTTTACATGTGAGCAAACTGGGACCTAGAGAGGTAATGCTTATCCAAGATGACACAGCTGACTAGTATTAAGGACAGTTCTAGAATTCAAGTCTCCTCACTCCCAGCTGAGTATTCTTTTTATTTTAGACTCTTTACCTTCATTTTAACATGGCTACATCTCTTGCTTTCTTTAAAATATATTTTCCCCTAAGAACAGTGAGTACCTGGGGAAGGTGGAAGATAGAGAGATGATGGTAGGACTTAGATGAATGGAAAATGGATGGGCATAAGATTTCACTGAGTGTATGCATGTATATATATATATATATATATATTTATCATTGTAAACATTTCAACCATGTGAATACATTATGTATTTAATGTTTTAAAGTAAATTCAATTTAAGATATTGTCTAAAAAACTCTTTAAAAATTCATAAATGCAGAACATCTCCATAAATAATATTTTAGAAAGCGTTCTTTTAGCTTTTCCCTCCTGAGTTTCTACAAAGGGCCTATTGTAACAGATTTAGGTTGATTTGTCTTTGTAACTTCAACCGTCTTCTGATAAAGAATAGAGCTCAAGGAAAAGTTTTTGCTGTGGCTTTTCCTGAGGTATATGGTTGGCGAGCTCACATATTCTTTTTTGTCATCTAGATCTTTGCTCTCAAAATGTGGTCCACAGGACAGCAGCATCTGCATGACGTGGGTGCTTATTAGAAATGCCAAATCCTGTGCCCCATCTCAGGCCTACTGAATCTGAATCTGCACTTTAACAAGATCCCTAGGTGATTCAAATGGACATTAAAGCTTCAGGAGCACTGGTCTAAATGACATGGCAACTGCCATTTTGGCCAAAATGAGTGTCCTCAGGTGGCAAGCTGAAAGGTACAGTAAAAAAAAAAAATCATCCCTCTTATTAGGTATGACAAATTTAGGCCTGATATACAACTTTCCATTACAAAGGGAGTCATGATTGGTTTCCAAGCAGTCATAGTGGAGCTCGAACCTCTGCTGGTCACTGTATTAGACCAACAGTGAAGATGATGGTGGTGACAATAATTATAATAACAATATTTACAGTGATTAGATACCACACTAAATGCTTTACATGTATTATTTTAATGCTCACCATGACACTATCTATCCCCACTTATAGATTAATAATTAGCAGATAGTTCTTTCCAGCTTGTTTTTCTCTACTCCAGAGGCTGAAAACTATAAACTACATTTCCCAGACTCCTTTGCAGCTAGGATGCTGGCATGCCACTCAGCTGCCCCTACTCAAGATTTGGAGCCATAAGTGAACAACATGCAGTGGAAGCCATCCTCTGGGAGATTGGATCTTCTGGTCCATATGCAGGTGGCAGTATCGAGTTCAGCTGGAGCAGCTATAATGGAGTATCTGGCATTTAGTTTCAACAACCCTAGGTACAAGGCTATGAGTGGCTGTGTCACTGGTGTTTCAGCTACAAAAGAACCACAGTGTTGTTGGGCAATCTTCCTGCCTGTGTTGTTTCTGAACATGTGGGATCCAAGAATGATTCACTGCACCCTCTTTCCCCGGAGATTCTGGGACCTGCTTAATACCTTTTAATAAATTCCTTTCCATTTATCTACCTAGAGTGGATTCTATTGTTTGCCAGTACCCTGGCTGGTATAGTAATTGAGATCAGTTAAATCACTAAAAGCTAAAAAATGGTGGTACTAACTTAGGGTACTTGAGTATTCAGTTTTCCAAAGGAGAAGGTGACGTTTGAGATATTGTAAAACAGAGACGTGAGGTTAATATTTCCTAAAATAGCAATGATAAAGCTGAAACCAGTGGCATTATATTAAAGGGACCAACAGTCTTTAAGGTTAGTTTTGCTGCAATTCTGGAAATGTTCTACACCTAAAAACAAAGGTGTCTGTATGGCCAAAGTCAAGTAGAGAACCAAAACAATTATCTAGGCAAGTCATGAAAGGAAGAAAGAGAGTAGGAAGGAAATAAGATTTCTGTAAATGCCCATTTTGTGCCAGGCACTAAATTAGGGGCTTCTATAAACATTAGCAATGGGATTGCAAAATAAGAATTATACAACTTAAAATGGCCGGCAGGCAATGGCAGCTGGTGCTCAGGCTGACCGAGAGCAGTAAGAATTTTTATTAAAATGGGTATATTTGGAAGGAGATCAGTTTTACCCCATTAAAAATATATTATAAATGCTAATAAGCAATAATAATCTAGTATGAAGTTTCTGGGAGAAAATAGATGTCATATGAGCAAGTAATGCAGGTGGGTAATCTTGATTGCTTATTACTTACCAAAAGCCATGAATGACCAAGTTGAGGCCACACAGAGAACTCCTTATTATCCTCCATTCCCCATTTCTTGCTTACCATGATTGTCCACTTTCTGTTTTCAGCCTCTGGGAATACTAGTGACCGTGGAGAATAAAATACTTCATCGTCCACTTCTTCCGGCTTTCTGGGCAAGCAGTGTAAAAATGTCCAGTCAGAGGCAGCAAGTTTAGCAGTCTAAAGAAGAGATGGGGATAAGGCTGTGTTTTGACTATTGTATATGGCTATCACATCTGTCTTCTTCAATATTTAAAAATATACATATGGCCTGGAGTGAGAGATCCATGCAAAGGAAGAGACAAAGGGGCAGAGTGAGCCTTTAAGGTCAAGGCGCCCAGGGAAAATGTATGTGATACTTTCAACCTACAAAACTTTAGTCATTTTTTTAATTTGAGAGATCATCACTCTAAATTAAGCCACTAACTCAGTTTTCTGGTACTCTGTCTAGTGGGATAGTGGGCATTTCAGTAAAGAACTCTACTAGCATAATATATGGCTGACAGCAAAAGTCACCAATTGTACCTCAATATACTTTAAAAGTCGCTTTTATGTGATTGTGTTATATTTTGAGTTTATCTCCAAATTATGGTTTTTAGCACTTGAAGCATACTTCTTCACTAGTTAAAACCATTTTGAAAAAGAGCACTGAGATAGGAGTGCATTAAATAGGATTATGGGCACTACGCACTAGATGTTTCATTCTTAATGCAAATGTGCTAATGGTTTTAATTTTCTCCAGCAGGTAAGTCCTGAAAGTTACATTTGTCCATCTATTTCCATCATTCACTTACAGATTCAAAACTACATTCCCTCATAATTTCTTACCTCAAAATCACTGCCTTTGTACTAAAATTTTGTTTTACCACCCACCCTAGTTCTCCGTTCAGAACATTTTGAGTTTCTAAAATACTGGCAAAGTGACATAGGAAAGGAATAACATTTGGACCAGTCATGCGTCAGTGAGGTGACCATTCTTCAAGCATACAGCCCCAGCACCAGAAAAACGTCTAAAGTTGTTCAAGGTGAGTAGGAGGTAAGCCACAGGGAATTGAAAATTTCTCCATGCAAATATTGGCCATATATATGACAATGGATTAGCCAAAATAAATAAATAACTCCTATAACCAATAATAAAAGGGCAAAAAATAGAAAATGGGCAAAGGTTATGATAGTGATTTGTAGAAAAAGACATGGAAATGGCCAATAAACATGAAAAGACATTTCATTTCATTAGTAATCAGGGAAATGTAAATTTTAAAAAGCACAAGATACAGATTTTTAAAAATTCAAAATGTAAATAGCAACTAAGAATGGAGAGAGTGTGGAGGGAGTATGAATTGTCAATCCTTTTCGGATGGGCACTTTAGCAGCATTTCCCATATTTTAAAAAGTATATACCATTTCACCCAGAAATAATTCTTCTTGTGATCTATTCTCCAGTAATACTTGCACAAAGAAATATGTATTATAAGGATGTTCATTGCAGCATTGTTTGTAATTGAGATAGTTGGAAATAGCCTAATTTATGAACAGGAAACATTTTAACTATATTATGGTCCACTCATACTTTGGAATTCTATGCAGCCATTAAAAGAATGAAAAATATCTAAGTGAATGGACAAGAAAATCTAAGATTTGTAAAGTGAAAAAAGTAAATCAGAATAATATGTCGAATATACCATTTATGATAAATCAGTAGTTGTGTATATGTGCAGGCATATGTAAATACACAGAAAAGGTCTGCAAAGAGACACATCAAATTGTTAAACAGCGGCTACCCCTGGGAATAATCATCGTTAAGGGGATGGGGTGAAGACATTTTTACTTTTCCCTTTTCAAACTTCATTCTATTGACACGTACGAATAAGGAGCTTGTATTTATATAATACCTTATCAATAAAATATCTATTGCAATCACTTAATTCCTTTCTCCACCAACACAGATTAGTTGCTCTGCTGATGAAATCCCAATGTACACCTGACTTTTAGGGTATTCCTCCAGAACGGTGGTCCTCAAAGTGTGACCCGGGAGCAGCAGCATTGTGTCACTCGGGAACTTGGTAGTATGCAAATTGTTGGGTCTCACCCCTCACCTACTGATTCAGAATCCCTGGGGGTCCGGGGTCCTGCCAGCTGTGTGTTAATAACTCCTCCAGGCAATTCTAAGACCTGCTCAAGATTGAGAAGCACCGCTTCAGATTTTAATTAACGGCATCAGATTAGATGGCACTCCCCTGGGAACGCCCTGGAGGCAGTTAGCAAAACCAAACTGGATTTGAGAGTACTTAGAAGACAGAGGCAAAGACTAGCTAAGGAATGTAATTATGGGGCTTTTCTTAGAGGAGAAATCAGAACAAATTGCATGCAATAGAAGTAACCTAAAGTCCTACACACACAAAGAGGAAAGCATTCCAATGCCTCCATTGCTGTGAGAGCGAAAAGCTTGCTTCTCTCTTCTGCCTGGGTTTCAAATTCCTTCATCCAGGACAAAAGTGTCTTTCCAAAGGACGCAGCTAATCTTCAGGAGGAGAGAAATCCCTGGGGGATAGTCAGCGAGTCCTTTATAGGGAATGAAAGGACAGTCTGCTCTCCCCAAAGTGAATGAGTGATTAGATGGTTCTGGCCTTTCTAAATGGAATTAATGAACCTTCAGAGAGGCATCAATTGGTACCTTCATCGTAACCTGGTAACCTTGGAAAGCCTGGAGCCGCTTTTTCTTCTCCTCTTCTTGTCCCATGCTTATCCAAGTGTCTGTAATTAACACATTGCCTCCACGAGCCGCTTCCAGTGGATCATTCGTCAGCGACAGCTGGGTATTGTTCTGGCATATACAAGCACGCAGGTTAAACAGCTTCATGGGACAGAGAAAGGCAATTATCTCTTTACATACAAAGAGCATACCTCCTTGGCATACTGCTCTGCCAGCTTGGTTATATTGGGATCCGGCTCATAACCCTGGAGGGGGAAGAATTTAACTGTTATTTAGGTAAATTTTATTATATATGCTTTCTTATATATGTATTATTTTCCTTTCAACAATATTCCTGCTCTCCTTCCCTTTTTTGCTTTAAGTTGTAGTCCAACCATACTCAGCAGAATATAATATTTACAGTTAGAATTTCAAACCTTAATAGTGTGTTTTGGAATTTAAGAAGGTAATCAATTGCCCCATTATTCTTTTATTATCTTTGATCTCTAGCCATAAAGACAAACAGGATGTGCTTTCTAGCTGTTGCTGGCACCTCTTCTTGTTTCTCTAAGAGCTTAAGAGGACTACATACATAATTCTATAACCTAATGCATTTTTGTCTCCGAGTTTTTTCACGAGCTTTTTTTTTGTAATGCTTTTGTGTCTGAAACGCTTTTCCCCAGCCACTCTATATGAATAACACTTTCAGGTCTCGGCTTAAATGTTTCCTCCTCAGAAAAACCTTCCTTGACCACCCCAGCTAATTACTACCAGTTCACATGCACACATCTTATTCTTTTGCACACACCAGCAAGTGTTCTGAGTGCAGGGCGCTTGCTTTGAAATGGCATTTACACAGCAAGGACACTGTTTTTGCTAAAATATATTTGTTTGGGATGCTTTGGGGAGGGCAGGGTCGGGACTTGAGTGAGGCAAGCGAGGTGCCTAGGGCACAAAACCTAAGCTGACGCTCACTGTCAGAGTCGTGCAAGCACAAATTTTGCACCACAGTCGCCTTGCTTGCTCCCCCTAGTCTCAACTCTAGGTGAGGAGACGTTATGAGAACAGCTAAAGCTGGCCAAGCTATTCCAGACCCCAGGTAGTCCCTCTGCCTCCATCCTCACCCTCCAATCTGTTCTGTACCCAGCAGCAAGAATTGTTTTCTCTGAAGCCTTCAATGTTTACTACTTGTTTCTTGAGTCGAAGCTAATTAAGAGCATCAAGGCTCCCCGCCGACAGCCCCTGCTTCTGTCTCTTTTAATTCTTCTCAACATCTTGCTGCAGGAAAGCCAATCTTATTATCAGCCCTGTACATGTCTTGCCCTTTTCTGCCATCACAGCCTTTCACTCTTGAACACCTCCCCCTCTGTCCCCTCCTGGGCGTCTTCATTGGAACATGTCAGCTCCTCCTTTGTCAAAACTCTAGCCCAGCCTCACCTCCAGACCCTCCATATGGAAGTCTTGTCAGTCCAAACGCCATAATTATTCTCACCTTCCTCCATCCTTCTCATTGTCCTGAATTCTTAGCGTTTATTATGAGTTGGTTTTTATAAATTCTCAGCAGGGCATTGTGGTGGACACTGTGATGTGCCACTCAGATCCCCCTTCATGAACAAAGGACTTATTCCCCAGCTGCTGGGCGTGCTCCTGGAAGATGGCTTTCGGCTGTCAGCCCTCTTCGGGCACTGCCTCAGCTGCAGAGAGCCGACTCACAGAAGGTCACGGACCCTTCCATAGTGACCTACATTTAATGACTGATTCACAGGAGGGTATGAAAACCTGACTCCCTCCTCTCAACTCTGGACAGATCTGAATGGCCCTCTCAGATCTAGAACTCTAGAAGGTCAGCCAAGGCAGTTGTTGGGCCTACGTCACAGCTTGGCTTCTCCCTCTGCCCCTCTGCTCTCTCCTGCTTCCGTCTTCTCCCTTCCACAGGTGTTGATCTCAAGGGCATGCCTTAATAAACATCCCGCATGCTAAGCTCTGTCTCAGAGTCGGCTTCCCAGTAAACTCAACCCACAACAGACATGTTCAGGGTTATTCATTTAATATTGTTTATTTGCACATGATTATCTACCATGGGTCCTTTTCTCATTACACAATTCTTAAGGAAAGAAACTCCTCAGATGTTGATGATGATGGCTGCAGACATTTTAGCACAATTACCACCCTCAAATAGCCATAAATTCTGGAGCTTTGTTTATTGGGACTTGGGGAAGGTGGTTAATAAAGGCTTGATAATTTAGTAACTAATGTTGTGACTATTCATCCCGGTAAACATAAATGAAGAGACTTGGCTATTACCCACTGTGCTTCCTGCTCGGAAAATGTAACCTTCCCTTTGGAGAGCAGGCTTTATACTCGCCAGGTATAATCATTCCTAGAGAAGGAATCAATACATACTTAGAGAACCAAGCGAGAGGTTGGGAAATTAGAAAATCATCCGACCTTGCATGCACTGGGCCATGACTGAGCATACAAAGAGGAATTTTTCACTCACAGCTCAGCTTTCCATACTAAATCACTCATTGGCTTTTACGTAAATCTTCAAACCAGACAATAAGGTGATTAACAAACCCAGTTCAGTCTAAATATTCACTTAGAACAATGTTAAAATTATTACCATCAGTAGTTTATGGGGCAATTTTACAATCAAAAACAAAATTATGTTTTCTTGAACATGTAAGTGTTTCTTGGGTAAAGAATGGGGAAATAGATTAATTATGGCCTTGGAAACTTTTCAGTGCTTTTTAAATTTACAATAAATCTCCGAGCTTTATCTTTAAAGGAAATGGGTCTACTTATAAATTTATGGAAAACTTCTGCACTATCAGACTTTCCAGAAGACTTTTTAAAACTTCCTCCCACCAAGATTTAACCAGGTTTTAGTACTCTTTATCATTTAAATGAGTTTCTGCATAAGAACAATAGTGAAATTACTCTGTAATATTGGAATTTTTTCCTTTGACATTAACAAAACATCTTTGACGTGCAATAAAATGTTTAAATCATATATTTTTCCAACAGAATAAAGCCTTACCAAAAATACCTTATAGTAGGGAACAATTATTGTTAATGTATGTTTTATCTGTAAAAACTAAATGCGATAATTGTTTGCATTAATATGGAGCCTTTCATCAAACTAGATTTGTAGTGAGAGTGTGCTAACTCTTTCCATAAAGTGCAAAAGAACCACCTAAAGCACATGTCAGATCCCACACTTTATTTCAGTCCATGTTGAATGAAAGAGAATTATCCGTTGTAAGAATTATCTTGCCGTTGCCGAGTCCCCAAAATTTACATAATAGGGTGGCTTCCAATACATGCTGTTGCCTGTGCCTGCCATTGCTTCTATGACAAATGTATTAGGTAGACTAGTGCTCTCCAAAAATTCCTTCCCAACCAGAACTTCAGATTGTGACCTTATTTAGAAGTAGAGTCTTTGCAGATGTAATTAGTTAAGATAAGGTCATAGTGGATTAGAGTGGGCCTAAATTTAATATGACTGGTGTCCTCATAAGAAGAGGGACGTTCATACTGAGGAACACAGACATAAAGGGAAGAAGATGGAGGCGGAGATTGGAGTGATGCAGCCACGAGCCAAGGAACACCTGGAGCTACCAGAAGTGGGAAGAGACAAGGAAGGATTCTCCCCTAGAACCCTCAGAGGGAGTGTGGCCCTGCCAACACCTTGATTTTGGCCTGCCAGTCTTCGGAACCGTGAAACTATAACTTTCTGTTGTTTTAAGCCACCCACTTGGTGGTAATTTGTTATGGCAGCTGTCGCAAACTCAGGCAGCAAGGTGCATTGACTCAAACTGGTTCAGTGAGAACACTAGGGAAAAGCATTTTGGTTGGTTTGGTTTTGGCAGGATGCAGCAGACAATGCTGCTGCTCTACCCAGATGCCATCAGAGGATCTCCTTCTACAGCTTTGGCTCCCTCTCCCCATTTCAGTGTGCTTTCAACACCTAGCACTCGCAGCTCTTCTTCAGAAGACTCCCCTCTGGCTCCCCTGCTGCTTTCCCTGCCAAAAGTGCCAGGGGGGCCACCACCCCCTTCCCTTTCTGTCCTTGATCAATAACTGGTTCAAAGGATGAAAGCCAACCTTCCTTGCCTCAGGTTGGGACAACTCTGGGGCATAACTTACACTCCAGAGCTTGCCTGTGGGATCAGGCTGAAGCTCCCTTCCATGGGACTGTGCCTGACTTGGCACTATGGTGACAAAGTCATCCTGGTTTGCCTGGGACTCTCCCAGTTTTACCACTGATAGCCCCGTGTCCCGGGCAATCCCTCAGTCCCGGGCAAGCCTGGATGGGCTGGCCCCTGTAAATGGCACTCTTGCTTGGATTCTTCCCTTTCTCTTTCCTGCTCCCCCTATTCCTCTACAGGTCTCCTTTTGGAGTACTTCCTTGATAAATCACTTGTACTCGAATCCTCCTCGAGGGGTCTCTTCGTGGGGAACCTGTCCCAAGACACTGGTGGGATCGGGAGTGAAGAGTGCATGAGAGTCTCAAGGATGTGGTATTTCCTATTGGAGAAATTCATCTATGAAGACACATTGTGTAATTCACGTTCCCAGTGATTGGCAAATAAACATCTCAAACTCAAGAAGTAGAAGCAGGGAGGAAGTTGTAGGCCTCACGTACTCACCTCTGGATGCCTAAGTATATCAGAGTGAACCAAAGCAGTGACTGTTGAGATACATTAAACACACGCTTGGTCAGAAACACACTGGTGCACAATAATTGTGAATAGCTGTCTCTTAATGAGAGGGTCAGTACTATCTTTTACTTTGCTTCTGAAACAGTTTCTATTTAGGGGAGTTTTCTCTTCAAAAGACTCCTGATAGGATATAGTAGCCAATGAGAAACATAAAGGGGAAAATAATTCAGTAGAGATGGGGTATTTAAAAGATTCTGTGGGTATCCTTCAGGACTGGTTAGTGTATGAGTCTCTTGTAGGGTTGATTTTTATCCTCTAAAAGGCCTATTTATTTTGTATGAGCCTGGGGGTATCTTAACTTAGGGCTTCTCCTCAGGGGATCTGCACTTTTCTATTTTGATGTATTTATTTATGTATTTATGTTATTATGTAGGTAAAACATTTACGTCTTAAGAAATTCAAACCACACAAAAGCATATATCATGAAAATAAAGTCTCCCTCCTACCTCTCTCCTTGAACACCCCAGTTCCCCTTCTCAGAGGCAACAGCTATTACCAGTTTCTTGTGTATCAAAAGAGTTGCTGTGGACCTATGAAAGAAGTCATGCTTCTCGTACATTCTGTGAGAGATTAGCAGCAGGGTAGGAAATATGCAGGGTCATCTTCACAGCCATGTGGGACTCAGGTTGAAAAGCTGAAGAGCCCCTGGAGTTGAGTTTTGAAACACTAAGCTGGTGTAGATGCCATCACTGTGACCTTCACATTAGATTATTTTTCTACCAAATTGCAATCTTAGAAAAATGACAGCATCTTCCCCATGCTTTGGGAATTCTATGCTGTCTGGATTTCATTGCTTTCTTCAACCTTGGTGGTAGCAATGCACAAGGATGCCAGTCATCATAATGGCTGGTTTCAGGGCATTCAAAGGGATAATTTAGACATACTTTTAACACAGACTCACAGGATGAAGGCATCAGCCAAGACTATCTCTTATTGTAGAGGTGGGAAATTGGGCACTGAATAGGCCAGACAGCTATAATAGTAGGGCTTGTATCATAACCTAAATTTTTTGGCTTCACCTGTGCTCTCCTTGAATGGAAGAGAGATTTGTTCTCACTGGGTAATTGCATGTGGGGATGATTTAAGAGGGGGTTAGTTTCAAGGCAGAAAGTTTCCCTACCTTTGGAGTAGCCACCTGAAGGTGCATTCCGACTTTTGCTGCACTCATCATGATGGAGTGCAGGATGTTGTTCCCATCCCCAATCCAGCTGAGGGTAAGGCCTTTCAGAGAACCATAATGTTCCTAAAAGGCAAGGGAGGGAGAAGATTACAGCCGGGAGGAAATCCACTTACATGAAACAATTAGTAGGGTTAAAATAAAGGAAACAATGTTCACCTCAATCTTAACGCTTTGTTGGAATGAATAAACTACTGATTTTTTTTTTTTTTTGCATTATACAGAGCAATTCAATAACATGAATGTACAATAAAAAAATAGCAAGATGTCCTAATATCTTAAACCAAGACATCATATGAACTCATACAGAGATTCATATTTTCATATATTTCAAGTCCAAATCTTTGTTGTATTCATTCATTCATTCAACGAATGGAGCACTATTGATGTTCAGACACTTTCCTTGGCCCTGGAGATATGGCAACAAACAAAAGAGACAAAAAGTCACCACGTTTATGGAGCTTACATTCATTGGTATAAGAAAGGGGAAATACAATGCATCTAGAACAGTGTAGCACGGTAGTTGACTATGTTCTCACTTATATAAAGTTGAAAAACATGCCCACTAGTACTCTTGTTTGTTTATGGATATAGAGATGTGTAGTTAAAGTATGAACACATGCCTGAGAATTATAAATTCAAACATCAGGATAATAATTTCTTTGTGGGGTAGGAGGAAATTGGATCAGGGAGAGTTACACGGTGAACTCCAGCTCTATCTGTAATATTGTATTTAAAAACAATAAAACATTCTAAAGTAAGATTTGACAAAACTGTGTACAGGGCACATAGGTGTTTATTTTTCTTGAAGTGTCTATAGATTTCATACATTTTATATATTTATAAAGATAAAATTAAAAAAGAGAAAGGCTAAGCAATTTTGGAACTACTAGGTGGCTAAGCTAGGATTTAAATCCAGGTCCATCTGATTTAGATTCCATACTCTTAATAAACTGCTCTTTATTCACCCATCTCCTACTTTGAGTATTTCCTATATGAAGGCATTGCACCAGGTCCTGCAGGGGACAGTATGGTGAATAGGACATTTCGCTGTCCCTCAATGAATTTATAATCCAGTAATGATAAAGCCCGAGGGGGGAGTATTAAAAGATCTGGTGTTTATGTAAAGCCACACCCACAAACAGCCAGTTGGTATCAAACATCGTTGTATCATCCTCTCTGCATGCATCTTATCCTCATCACCAAAGAGTTTCATTTTTAATTTAACCTCATATTTACATATGTGTAGCTTATTCAAATGAGGAGGAATACTGGACCTATCCAGTTTGCCCTGTCTCCCCAGAATAGTCCATAGACACAGAAACCATGGTTGTCAGGATTCCCAGTGGCAAGACCATGTACATTGGCTGTGGCAAACCAAACAAGATGAATTTTCCGAAGTTATTCAAGTTCCTGATTTGGGGGGACATAGCTAAATTTGAGCCTCAATCCTATAAATTCTGCATGTTCCTTTTTTTTTTTTGGAGGAAGCTTAGCCCTGAGCTAACTGCTGCTAATCCTCCTCTTTTTGCTGAGGAAGACTGGCCCTGAGCTAACACCCGTGCCCATCTTCCTCTACTTTATACATGGGACGCCTACCACAGCATGGCTTGCCAAGCAGTGCCATGTCCGCACCCGGGATCTGAACCATTGAACCCCGGGCCACCAAAGCAGAACGTGCGCACTTAACCGCTGCGCCACTGGGCTGGCCCCAAATTCTGCATGTTCTTAACTCCAGTCTTAAACAGTTTATTAAAATGATAGAAAATGGCCTCTTTCTCAGAAAGTGATTTAGTAATTGGCCATTTTGAATATTCAGAGCTCATTCCGCCAGTCTTCATTCCCAAGCCACAGAGCCTGATGTATGTAGGATTACATAAAGCTTTTCCATCCTGTATGCTCCAGCATTCCCTGTTAATCCATGTGTTAAATATGGCACCAAAAAGCAAAGCGATTGAAAGAACGGGGCATGAGAGAGGGCCTAAAAGAGGTTGGGAATAGAGTTGAGAATAGAAGGATCTTATAATCTGTTTTTAACAATGCCCCCTCTTCCTTGAATATCTAGTATGCACACATATGCTATAATTCTTTGCCAAGATGATATTTGAAAACAAAACACCAATATCTTGATTTAAATTGTTCCATTTAGAGCTACCCAGGAACTATTTATTGATTTTGCTCTTGTGTAAGGCAAAGAAATAAGCCAACCTGGAGCGTGAGGTAATCAGCCAGGATCTGAATAGGATGATACAAATCTGACAGCCCGTTGATGATTGGAATGGATGCTTCTTTAGCCAAGACGTCCAGATCTGATTGTTTGTACACTCGAGCCAACACTGCATCTGTCATGCTAGACAACACACTGCAGCAAACCAAGAAAAGATCATCGAATTACGCTTAATAATTCCTTCTTTAATACAAGATCTTAAACAGTAATAAGAAATGCTAATGAATTAAAATTTTTACTGTTACAACTACTATCAACGTGACAGATTTAAATGCTAATATTAAACATATAGTCATTACAGAAACCAGATATTGTTCTACTGATGTCTTATCCAGTGACCACTGATATTACTATTTTTTACAGAGACAAGAAATCAATTGTGGGCCTCACAGTCGCACTGATGAATTATAAGTGATAAGGGGCAGTTGGCAAAGTTCAAATGGACAAGACCAAAAACAAGATATACAGAGAAACATTAATGACCTGGCATGTGGCTAATTTTCTTTTGCATCATCCCACAGACAAATATACAAAATATACACTTCACTATAGAATTGAAAGTACCCATGTGGCAGCCATGGAGGTGCACGCACAGATTGCCTAACAAAAGAGAACCTTCTGGGAGGAGTGCTATTAGTTGACAGCCCCCAGCTGCTATACCACTGGGATCAGCTGCAGTGTTCCCACTGCGGTCACACTCTCCCCAGGCTTTTCCCATCAGTGACTGACCACGGTACCAGAGCTGGGCCATTCTGCCTGAAGTGGTACTTCTCTGATGGGTGGTGTTTGCCATGGAGATCCCCATTGGCCTGGCCAAGACTTGCTCAGAGCTCTGCTGCAGACTGAGGTTCTTTCTATCCTGGCCCTTCCTTCCTCCTCTCCTTTCCCTGGGGTCAGACCTGCACTGTGGTCTGAAGGCTTTCCCTGCCTGCTCTTGCTTCCTCTCTCCTTAATCCTTCACAGTTGTTGCCCCTAATATATATCTTGCATGTCTAACTCCATCTTGGAGTCTGCTTCTCAGTGAACTTGAACTGACAGAGTCAGCAATGAACTCTTTCAGGAGCTGAGCCTGAGAAGGCATTTGGCCCTTGTCCCTGCACTCTGCATAGCTATCAGCATCTCTGAAAAAGACAGGAAGTGCTCAACACCATGCAACAGAAAAAAATCCACCAAGAAAACAAGGCAAATCAAATCACGGCCATGAATTCAAACAACACACAGAAGGAGGAATAGTATTATTCTCGTTTTATGGCTGAAGGACCTAAGACACAGAGAGGTTAATTAACTTGCTCCACATCACACAGCTAATTAAGTGGAGGACCTTATACTCAATTCACAGTCAGTTTAATTCAAAAGTGCATGTTCTTACCATTACAACACATTGTCTCAAATTCACAGATGATAAAAATCTGGAAGGAGAGCCTGGGATCCAGATTTTCAGTTCTCTCCACGTGTCAGAGTGATAGTGGTCCACCAGCTAAAGCTTCAGCTTTACAAAAATAGTAAGGATGGGCTTTTGTTTACAATCTTGGTTTATTCTTGTTATTTAAAAGGAAACCCCCACAGCAGAGGCTTCTAACCATTTCAGTTTTTTTTTTTTTTTAAAGATTTTTTTTATTTTTTCCTTTTTCTCCCCAAAGCCCCCCCGGTACATAGTTGTATATTCTTCGTTGTGGGTCCTTCTAGTTGTGGTATGTGGGACGCTGCCTCAGCGTGGTTTGATGAGCAGTGTCATGTCCGCGCCCAGGATTCGAACCAACGAAACACTGGGCCGCCTGCAGCGGAGCGCGCGAACTTAACCACTCGGCCACGGGGCCAGCCCCATAACCATTTCAGTTTTAAGGAACTCATTTAATAGCAAAAATGTTTGGAAAGCCTCTCATGATAGTAGTATCAAATATATAGTCATGATTATAAGGTATCCAGTTAGTCTTGAGTTCTGATTCTGGCTCTGTAACTTACTACCTCTGCGACCTTGGGCATGTTATTTAATTTCTGTATGACTTAGTTTCGTTATCTGTAAAACAGTAATAGTAATATCCATCCCATTAGATTATTGTGAGGATTACACGAGATAACCTATATAAAATGCATAGTATGGTATCTTGTTTGTAGTAAGAGATCAAAAGGTAGTAGATATTATTACCATGTCAAAAGAGAAAGCACAAAAACTAAAGCTAGTATGTATTCAGTAAGGTCTTCATAAATTTGTATTTTAATCATGTGTATTTGGAAAATTAGTCCCTCTTATATGTCTAAGACATATTATTTACTCAGTCTATAGAAAAGTGTTGGTGCTTATAAAATTGAAGGGCCACTAAAAAAATCTCCTTGCCCCCAGGGATTAGAGGATCAAAGATTGAAAACCATATTTCTATAACAGTATTTTCTAGACTCAGATTTTTTTCAAATTTTCTTAGATTTCTCATTCCCATAGTTCTCAGATTTCCAGATTTCATGGATCAGGAAAATTTCCAAAAGCATGTGGAGATCAACATAAGATTCCCAACTTTTTGTTGAACAAATTAAGGGCATGAGAAACAAGCAAATAAATACATATAATACGTTAATATCTTTATTTAATGAAAGAAAGGACATTTTAACACCAGAAAAGGTGTGAAAGACCTAATCTCAGAGAATGATCCTTGAAATGGAATTAATTTAGCTTTATGAAATTCACTCTATTGTCTTTATTTTTCTTATTTTACCACTTCTGCTGAAAAGTTCTCATGGCAGGGCAACAGTGGAGAGTCAAGATTTGGGAACCAGTGCTCTGAGCTATCTATGCACATTGTATATTATAGCGTGCAAGAGGTGAAGAAGAGAGTCACGTTAGATTTTCTCTTACAAAACAGGTGATGTTTGATGGTTGACTGAGAGGGGTTTTCAAATTTTGCTGCACACGAAAGTCACCTGGGGAGTTTTAAAAACTCTTGCTGCCTACGCCATGATCTCTAACAATTACATCAGAAAAATAGAATCTTTACAGGTGGGACTTAGGGATCAGTAATTTTAAAAACTTTCCAGGAGATTCCAATGTGCAGCCAAGGTTGAGAACCAAAGCTAGCACCTCGCTCCTCAGATCAACAGCATCAGCATCACCTGGGAGCTTGTTAGAACTCCACAATCACAGGTCCCACCTGTATTTTCTGAATCAGAGTCTGCTTTTTTTTTTAGGAAGATTAGCTCTGAGCTAACATCTGCCACGAATCCTCCTCTTTTTGCTGAGGAACCTGACCCTGAGCTAATATCTGTGCCCATCTTCCTCTACTTTATATGTGGGATGCCTGCCACAGCATGGCTTGCCAAGTGGTGTGTAGGTCTGCACCCAGGATCCGAACCGGCAAACCCCAGGACGCCGAAGCGGAACATGCAAACTTGATCACTGCACCACTGGGCAGGCCCCAAAATCTGCATTTTTAACAAGGTTGCCAGGTGATCTATTTGCCTATTAAAGCTTGAGAGTCCTAATAAAGAGAGAATTGAGGCCACCATATTTTTGAAAGCACCATCCATTCTTTTCTGAGCACCCTAACCAGGCCAAAAAAAGAAAGAAAATCAAGAGACGGCAGCCCACAAGGAGGACCTTGTCCACGATGTCATTGGCAGGGAGTGCTTTCTAGTTCAATTGAAGGAAAAAGGCACCACAAATCTGAGAAATGAATAATAAGGCCCCCTCATTAGAGTGAGCAGCTCCCCTGACCTGTCTGATGCCCTAAGGCAATGGTTCCCAGACTTGAGTGTGTATCACAGCTAAGTGAAAAACCAATAAACTGCAGAGGCCCAGGCTCCTGAAATAGGGTTGAATCTGCGTCATTGTATTTTCACCGCGTTTTCCAAGTAGCTCAGATAACTTTCCAAAGTTTGAAAACCACCGTCCTAAGGCATAGGTATCATGTTGAAAGAATTTTAAATCTTCTCCCCTTTCTTCAAGATCTTAATACAAGTTCCATTCCCGGTACAGATATACGGATGCTTCATACTACAGAATGCAGGATTTTAACTCTATCACAGGAAAGTAACTTAGATGGAGGTTTTTGTTGCTAGTGCTGTTGAGTCGATTCCAGCTCCTAGCTACACTGTGTACAGCAGACAAGAACCCTGCCGGGTCCTTTTGCCCCATCCTCTGACCTTCTGGTGCTGTATCAGACAATGCTCTGCTGCTATTCACAGGGTTTTCACGGCTAATTTTTTGGGAAGTGGGTGGCCAAGTCCTTGTTCCTAGTCTTAGTCTGGAAGCTCTGCTGAAACCTGTCCACTATGGGTGACCCTACTGGTATTTGAAATACTAGTGGCATAGCTTTCAGCATCACAGCAACACACAGCTGCCACAGTACGACAACTAACAGACAGGTGGTGTGGTTCCCTGACCAGGAAACAACACCAGGCCATGGCACTGAGAGCACTGAATCTTAACCACTAGATCACCAGGGCTGGCTTAGATGGAGGTAGATATCCCAATAAGGTCTAGAATTATAATCAATTATCAATTCCCTATTTCAGGAGAATTGGTTAATTTTATGATACCAAAAATCCTATGAGAGAGAGGTAGAGGGGTTTGACCCCAAAGGACTTCTTTAAATATGTATCATTTCCTAAAGTTTGTACAGATAGGATAAAAAACCTAGATTAACCATTGCAGTTGGCCTTCTGGAATCTCATAGTCAGAAAAACAGATTTGACTTCTTTTGTACCCTCTCAAATAATTTTAGGGAGCCAGGACAATGTGCTGCCAACTTTGTAGGGTTTTCGTGAACTTTACAACGTGTTGTTGAATTTTACTAGATTTCGTGTGTATCACATGTAAATGTTATCTTAACCTCATCGATGAGGAAGCCAAGGCCTTTGAAAACCTTGAAGAAATTAGAGCAAAGTTAGGAGAGAATAAAGAAAGATAAAGCTGAAAGAGGGAAACACTAGGGGAATGAATGGAGAAGTCAATGCCCTATACACACGAGTATCTCAAAAAGATTGAAAAAGGGCAATTGCTGAGGTTCCCTCCCTTCAACAATCCCGAGAGCTCTCGAAGCAAAGCAGTCAAAAGGCAAGCGTACATTTACTTGCCCTGTTTACAATGTGGAGCTGGTATCCCTGAACCTCTATGGTGTAACCTCATGGAACAGTGCCTGGTCTTC